AACATTATTCGAACTTATTAACCTAGGTTATTTAAACAAAGATGAACGACTTAGCATTGCGTCTATTTGCGCTAAGTACGCGGACGTTTTTCATCTCCCAGGTGATAAATTGTCAGTCACCAATTTAATGGAGCATAAAATTACTTTAAAGGATAATGCGACTCCTGTTTATATAAAACCCTACAGAATACCACACTCTTTAAAACCAGAGTTACGTTAACAAATACAGGATATGTTAGACAACGATGTTATTGAGGAATCCACCTCGGAGTGGTCTAGTCCCGTCTTGCTTGTTCCGAAAAAGACCGACAAAAATAATGAACAGAAGTATAGGTTTGTCGTTGACTATAGGCAATTAAATAATAGAATTCATGATGATAAATTTCCACTTCCCAATATTACAGATATTTTAGATTCCTTATCAAATTCTATGTATTTTTCAAAATTAGATTTGTCCCAAAGTTATTATCAATTAAATTTAAATGAAAATTCAAGAAAATACACTGCTTTCCATTTAGATAGAATGTACCAATTATCCCTACATCCCGATTCACGTAAGTGCACCGCTTTCACAGCTGATAAAATATACTAAATGAAGCGTTGTCCGATGGGACTTAAAACTAGCCCTAGCGTATTTTCTCGATTAATGACTATAGCTATGTCTGGATTGAATTATAATCAATGTTTTATTTACTTAGACGATTGTATTGTTATAGGAAATTGCATAGAAAATCATAATAAAAACCTAATTTCTGTGTTGGAACGCTTAAGAAAAGTTAATTTAAAACTAAACCCTTTAAAATGAGAATTTTTAAGAACAGAGTTAGTATACTTAGGACATAAAATAACAAGTAAAGGCATATTTCCTGATCCAAGCAAAATAACAACCTTGCAAAGTTATCCGATACCGACTAACGTTGACGAGGTCCGAAGGTTCGTTGCCTTCGCTAACTATTATAGACAATTTATTTTACATTTCGCTGAAATTGCACATCCACTAAATAGACTTTGTAAAAAGAATGTTGCATTTAATTGCACAGCTGATTGTGACGAAGCATTCAATAAATTAAAATCTGCTTTAATAAAACCTCCAGCTATTAGCCATAGTTTGAGCAGTGAGGCATTTTAGACCTTATTTTTATGGTAGGAAATTCCAAATTCTAACCGATCACAAGCCTCTTATTTATTTATTTTCTATGACAGATCCTTCCAGTAGGCAAACTAAATTTCGTTTATATTTAGACGAATATGATTTTGAGATAGGCTATGTCCCAGGACGACACAATGCGGCTGCATACGCATTTAGTCGCATCCCGGTGACATCTGATGATTTAAAAAATATGCGTGAACACTTCGTATCTGTACTTACTAGAGCACAAACAAAAAAAATAGTCGTAATAAAAACTGTGACTTAGAGAATTACAGTAGGCCTGAAAATTTGCATAGTCATGAGACTGATCACCCCTTGACCGTGGAAATTCTCAAGCCACCACCGGATATTATCGAATTATGTTTTAGTCACTCGGTCAAATATGACGAAATAGGAAACGACGAAGTTATTACGTCCTCAAGTAGAAATTGTGTATATGTACCAAAGCAGTCAATAATTTATCTAAATGCTCGATCGCTATCAGCTGTAGAAGCGTTAGCGAGAGATTTAGAGAGTTTTTGTTGTAAGTTAAATATCTTAAAATTGCTTATCATCAAAAATAAATTATATGAAGGACATATTAAGTTACTTGCAAGTACAATTAAAAAACTAAAGTTGAGTCGGCCGCGGTTATTGATAACTATAGATGTTAAGCGTATCAGAAATGAGGACGAAAAGATAGTTATATTAAATGACTTCCACTTGTTACCCACCAGTGGGCATGCTGGGATAAATAGAATGCTAAACAATATTAAAAAATACTATTTTTGGCCAGGCATTACAAAGGATGTCATTAATTATGTCAATAAATGTAAGCTTTGTCAAATAAATAAATACACCAATAGATACATTAAGGAACCTATGTCATTTACGACTACCCGTAATTCGTCTTTCGAAAGAATTAGTTTAGATATAATGGGACCATTACAAGTTGACGATTACAATCAAGTTCGTTGAAGCGTATCCCTTGCAGCGCAAAAACGCTGAATCAGTAGCGAGAGCTTCTGTAAATAATTTTGTCCTTAGATATGGAATCCAAAAAGAAATAATTACAGACCAGGGAACAGAATTTCTTAACGAAATTATGACCGAAATATGTAACTTACTAGGTATTAAAAAATTACAGTCCACTGCATATCACCATGAAACTATGGGATCATTAGAAAATACTCACAAACATCTCGACACTTTTCTAAGAATACAATGTGAGAGTCACAAAAGCAATTGGAGTAGTTGGGTTCCGTACTGGTGTTTCTCATTCAACACCTCGACACACACGCAGACAAAATATACTCCCTACGAGCTAGTGTTTAGAAAAAAATGTATTTTACCTAGTAACTTAAGTGACTCTGTAACTCCCTTATATAACTATGATGACTATCTCAAGGAACTTCGACATAGACTACAAAGAGCACTGTATAATGCACAAACAAATTTATTAACTAATAAATGTAAATTATGTAGAAAAACTACATTTGATAAAAATAGCTATCCGATATCATATAAAAAAGGAGATTTAATTTTGGTAAAAAATCAAATAAGAGATAAGTTAGATAGAGTGTATAAGGGCCCTTATGAAGTAATAGAGGAAATGTCACCTAATGTAAAGATATTAAAAAATAACAGAGAATACATAGTACATAAAAATAATACAAAACCATATAATGATAACATTTAGCTGAATGCATGTGTAAAAAAAAATGTAACACTTTTTTTCTTTTTTGAGGAGAGGGGTGTAATGGAGATTTTGGGGGGCGTGTGATAGTATGAAAATAATTTAATAAATATGTATTTATAATACAACGCAACATTGAATGACACAAAAGTAGGCCACGTGAAATGCTGATGTTTTATAATAATATTGTGTGTTATATTTTATAAGTGTGTGTGTGTAACTACGTAGTGCACTAATATTATAAATAAGTATGTTTTGTACCATTACGGCTTCTTCAATAAATGGACACCAACCTATCTACGTGTTTGAATTTATTATAACCTGCCGCCATCACCCAACATACCACAGGTTACATTATCAAAGTTTTCATACGAAACCCTCACTTTTTTGAAAATCACCTAAAGCCTATGTTCATCAGGGATAATGGAGGATTATAAATGTGAAAGATTTTTTTCAAATCGGTCCAGTAGTTTCGAAGCCTATTCAATACAAACAAACAAACATTCAAATCTTTCCTATTTGTTTCTTAGGTTTTACGCACATCATTCATTATATAAAACTAGGTTTAACGGGTTAATGCACGAACTTTATTTATTTATTGACGTTTCGCAGCCTTTTCAGGTCTGCATCGTCAGAATAATGATTATTTATTAACTTTGTCGAGCTAACTTCGAAAGACTTTTATTGAGCCTAGGTAGCTCGACAGGTAGCTCTCAGTCTGGTCTGCGGTTCAGTTCGGACTTGTACCTTTAATCCCTTTTTACTGCTGGATGCGTGATATCATGAATTTCAACAAAAATAACACTGTCATTCACACGCGTTTCACTACTACAGTGCCAAAACTTTTCATGAATTTTAAGTTCTTAGAACGCCCCATAGTATCAGAATCTTTTAAAGAGGATTCATATCATGGGTGTTGAGAAAGTCTTGTATGCAACTGTTATAATTAGGTATTAAAATACTAATGTGATACTATTATCACACTCGGCTCGGCACACATTCATGTTACAATCATTATACAACAGTTGCTTAAATAACTATTAAAAAGTCCCTTTGATTGATTTTAATAGGAGACCTTTCCTCAATGTCTAGTATATTGGATCAAACATTTGATTCCTGCCCTTGAATCGAAATATAATTTTAATAATAGTGTTTATTTTTTTTACTTAAAATCATAATATGGGTTGTCTACTATATCATGTAGACGATTAAGTTAATGGTTATTTTTGGAAATTTGGATGTATTGAAATTGTTTCTATGCGTACCTACCTATAATACTCAGTTAAAACCAATTATTTATTAAACTAAAATATTTCAAAATAGGTAATTTTTCAGAGTAAAACTCTAAAACAAGGCCTTTTTTCGTTATAGCTATGTGTTTCTTTTATTAGGAGTAATCCATTTAAAGTGATCCAGAACTTTCCTAATTAAAAGTGATAACGCTTTCAGTGTATTTAGGTTCAGGAAACATAAACAAACATCCAGATTGTGTTTATTGGACCGATAAACTTCTAGGTATTCATGGATGAATTGTATATGATACTCACACCGTGAATCGTTGTCTGTATATTTTGTGCCGGGTGCTGGTAACCGTGGTTCTGAGTTTTATGGGCCTTTCGTTGAAATAACAGTTTGTTAAGGTAAATTTCTGTTGAAATTGAAATGTCACAGTCATACGCCCGCGGACTATTTATTGTTTCGGTGAGTGGGGAGTTCAGTTCAACAGTGCAAAGATTGGATCGGGACTTTTATTGTTAGAAACAATTCATTCAGCCAGTTATTGAAGATACTAATTGTATAATGTATACCTAGTGTATTGTTTTTATTTGTATATTGTTATAGAGCTGCGATAAAAATAGTATACATTCTGTGAACACTTCAAGTGTTGTCTAAACTCTACTTTCTTGGTCCAGAAGTTGACACTTAGCTCTAGGTTAGGTTAGGTTAGGTTTGTGTGGTAACCATCACTGGAACAATGTTTCGTCAATAAAGGCCCTTTAAACGAAAATATGAAGTACCAACTCCTGGGCTCATAAAGTACAGTTTTACCTATCTGTATGTCTATTATAGCTTATTAGACATGATAAGGTTCTTTTGTCACTATTCCAGAATGAAAACCTTTATAGTAGGACCGCAGACCCAGATTTTAAAGGCTGAATATATAAATTTACTTACCGAGCTGTTGCATCATATGTGATAAGTCCACCCACAGGTTGCGATACTGTGCCAACTTCAAGGCAGGGCGTTCTGAATCTAAAACTTTATGCAGATTCATTGCGAGGCCTTTTGATGCAGTCCCAAAAGCGTTACAGTTTATATACCTGGAATGAGAATAAGTTTTTAGCTGCCTCCCTGACTTATTTCAATAGACAGAAAAAGAAATTAAGGATTTTTATTTATTTACAGTATAAATTGTTATCGGAACCATATTATTCTGTTTTATTTTACAGTTAAAATTGGCAAACAAGCTGTCATTATAGTCTTTAGATACTTGCGATTCCACTTCAGTATCGTTCGTATTTTGATCAAAATAATACAATTAAATGATTGCTATAAGTAGTGCTTTAAATTTCCATTTTAGACCCTCGCCATCATACCATCGCAAAACCATTTTTTCATAAAAAATCGTTTGTAGTCTATTTTAACACATTGCACAGTGGTTAGCAAGTTCGGTTTGCAATCGTTGAAGTAAAAATATATTATCTCGAGCGCCGTAATAGCGAGTAAGTAATTTTTAGGTACTTCAGAAGGCACGCCAAGCCGTCGATCCTGGCAACATCTCTACAGTCGTTAGCATCCACCAATCTTTAAAGGAGCTGCATGAACTCGCTACTCTGTCTTTAAGTAAGGTCTGTGCCCCAGCCACTATTACATCTGTGCACACTAATATTATAAAGCTGAATAGTTTGTAAGTTTGGTTGAACGCGCTAATCTCATGAAATACTAGTCCGATTTGCAAAACTATTTTGTGTTTAAAAGTCCATTTATCGGGGAGGCTTTAACACATCACGCTACGACCCATAGGAGCGGGCACCAATGAAAAATATTGCAAAGCGGAAATTCATCCATCCATTTCAGAGCTTCCGTTGCGTGCACTGTGTAAACGGTTAAACTTACACAAAAATCTTAAATAAAGGAATCGTTTCCCTTTAAAAGTTCTTTAAAAAAGAACACGGCAGCATAATATGTCCGTCTATTAAGTTTGAAGCAATTTAACCATTTTCCTCAAAATAACGCGGGTGAAACAGCAGGGGACCTCTAGTAAGCTATAATAGGCAGATGATGAAGCGTCTTGAGTGGAGTTACCTTTTTAGCTTCTCATTATTTATGATAAGCATCTCACCTTTAATAATTTTAAGAAGAATGTTGAATATTTTATGCTTGTAATAACGTAATCAAATTAAACTAAATACAGAAGAATCGTGTACATTTTTTTAACTTTTTTTAGTTACCATAGTGCACAAAATGCGTCGAGCATAGCAATGATGTGATAGTAGGCGAAGGAATGCCACAATTCGAAGTCGTCTTGCAGGTAATGTTGTGAAAGTATAACGGCGACACTGAGAGCCCACGAGAATATGCATAGACCCCACGTCAATATGTACAGGTTGGGAAACACTATTGGGGTCCCAGTGATCTTTAAATACTTTAACTGAAATATACAAATTAGAAAACATTAGAATAAAAAAGAAAACATTTAGATCTTAATTAAACAGTAATATTTAAACATTCTTTTTTTAACGTATATTAAATAATAATAAATAAATAAATATTTCCAACACTCACAAAAATTAGTCTAGCCCCAAAGTAAGCACTGTATGCTTGTGTTATGGGATACTGGGGTAACGGATAGAATACATATACTGATACATATATAAATATATTTATAAAGAAATACTTATTAAACATCCATGACTGGAGTACTCGTGACTGGCATGCTCGTATTTATCACATAAACATCTGCCCCATCTGGATTCGAACCCGGGACCTTTCGAGTAGGTGATACCTTGAAACTCGTCGTACAAACCACTCGTCCACGGAGGTCGTCAAATAAATTAGCAATGTCAAGGTAAATAATCTAACTGATGATACTCGAGGAAAGTTAAATATCTTACAGAAAATATGTTTTCATTTAGCGATTTTGTAAAATTAGATATAATAATAAATTGTGTATTATTAACGACCTGACTTGTTTCTAATGTTTGACTACAACATTTGACCCAATGGAGGCCTGATTGGTAAACGAAAGCATTTAAGAAGAGACTGTAAAAAGAGATTAATCAAAGCTTCAATGTTTCAGCTTAGCAGTGTTGATTTTGTGTTAACCCCCCAAGTTTATGCAATCTGTCTCTACAAATATTTAGCCTTAATAACATAATAATATTTATTTTTCTGTTTTAATATACGAAAATGCATTCTGATAAAAAATAATACCATGAACTACTATGATTCGGGAACAAATATAAAAAAACATTGTTCAGTAAAGTTTTCTTTTAAAAACGAAAGGCGCCTATTCAAACTATGTTAAAAACTTTTTTAAATTAACACTTCACAAGAATTCCCTTCTTACTTGGTATTGAGTCCACATGTTCTTGAATACTGCCACTTGCGGGCCGTGCCTCCATGAAGCAACAGGTATGAGAAAATGTGGGATGAGAATGCTGAGAAATATTATATTGTATATCACCTCGTCGAAGCGCTTATTGGTATTTTGTTGGAAATTCGTTAAGCGTTCCTCACCCACTGAAAATAATACAATAGATATAATCACAACATTTGTTTTTAGTAAAAGGTAAAGGGGAGGTTTTTTGGCTGTGGTTAATTGTTGTTGGTATTTTCTTACTTAGTTGATGTTTTAATAATTGGAAACAAAATCCGTCTGTCTGTATTTAATCTCACAAAGTAACAAAATTAACACAACAATATCAAACTAAAAACTTATCATTAAAAATTAATTTTTAAATATTTATATACATATTCACAAAAAGAATATGCCAGCCAAAATTCCAATTTGGGGCATGGTACCCAACACACTGGCAGCATTACCTCGCTGAATAGCTAAACTGATTCTCTGCGTGAAATAGCTGCCAGCCCTCTGATCACTCGAAGAGAGAATTAGTCGATTCGACATATTCCTCATAAACCGCTTCATGTCAGCCGACCACGACCCTAACGTCTCGAAAGCTAACGCCGCAGACTCATAATCTTCAGTTATAGAAGAGTATTTCCGACGCTTGAGAAACTGAGCACGATCGGCTGCGGCCCCAACTTTAGTACAAGTTTCATGTATATAAGATGGAGCCAGCGTGTCTACGCAAGTTACATCCCATACCAGAGTGTGGCCCAGTCTCCACGGCACAAGCGTAGCACCGTCAGGTCTCTTGCCATCATCTCTATTTAGACCACATGGTTCTAATGTTGCCAGTATAGAAACTGTGTCAAGAGCTTTACGTACCAAATCATTAACTGTACCGTGGCGATATAAGCGACCAGCACTTCTGGAGCAGGATAAGCCATGTCGACCCAACTGATTCACAAACTGCCCACATGAATACAAATGGGGTTCACATACTTTGGCACTAAGCCGGAGACTAACGGAAATTCTCAGCGTTGCAGGATTTAAAATTGTACCAAGATTATGTGAGGGAAGCGCGTACAACCATTGACTTGAGTATTCGCTGGTGACTGCTAAAAGTCTCGCTCTCTCTGTATTATCCATTACTTGGTCAAGGAGACAAGCATCGTCAGTTTTTGTCCAGGCATGTCCCATTTTTTTTGTTTTGTTTTGCCAAAGCTTCACCCAAGCCCGTCACTTGAACATTAGCTTGTTTTAAGTTTAAATTACTAATGAGAGTAATCGTACTGTGAGTAGAAGCTAAGAAAGCGGGTAGAGCCACGCTTGAGGTGGTACGAATTCCCAACCCGCCTAATTAAACAGAAGGCAGGCCTGTCTCCAAGTGGTGTCTTCAAACTTTGAATTCAGAATTTCAATCGTCTAGATTGGTTTGATATATGATTGCATATAAATATCAGCATATTTGCAGCTGGTCGTCACAATGTCAGATATAAGGCATTTCAATGCCTTAAGAGAGACTTGAATCCTGGCATTTGAGTTCAGAACTCACAAATCGCTCTGTTCGCATTTACTGCTTTAGCAACAAAATATTTTGTTTTGTTGAACTTGGATGCGTTATTACAAATTCGTCATCAAAATTCATATAAATTAAATTAAGGAGAATACTCATCACTCAAAACACTCAGAATCTCAGATTGTTGTATATTTTAAGTGTATAAAATGTTCACTTACCTTTAAGAACAATTAAAAGTTCAAGACTCCATATGAAGTAAGCCCATAGAGTTGCTTTAGATAAAAATTTGTAGGTTGTTCTTTCAGTTGTTTGTGCATCTGTTAAAAATTATAAAATCATGTAATAACATAACGTATGGATATACTTTCAATACCGATATCATTCTTTTTGTTAAGAAATAAAATTTTCAATGCCAAATTACGAGTATATCCACTGATGAAGCCTGTGTAATCATTTCTTTATTTAAACTTAAAATAAATATATAAATAGGCATATTTGCAAATTTATATGAACATTGTCATTCTATTATAATGCTCAATAGGAAATGGTGTTAGATAGGCAACACGAGGGTGATAAAATATAATCTGCTTATTATAGCAAGCGTTTAACCGTGATTTAATAAGCCCCAGAAAACTGACATTTCAAAAATTATTTCAAACAATACTGAGCAACAAGCCTTATATAACTTTCATATTGACTTTATGTTTCAAAGAAATATACCAAATAAATGGAATTGGAAACTTTCCATGAAATTATTACTGGTACAGAAGTTAAAGAAAGCTGCGAAGTCTCCTCGTGTAAACTTTAAAGGCAAAGTTAAGTTTGTTGTTTGTTGATTTACATAATTGCAAAACAATACTTTCAAGAATTCAGACCTACGGTATTTTTATTATTTTGAGGTTATACATGAAGTAATACCAATATAATAATTTTTAATAAAATAATATTATATTTACGAAAGTAAGTTAAATTGAATAAGTTTTTCTATTGACTGAAAAGAAAATTAATTAAAAATATTTTCTGGTATTTACCAAAGGCCACAACATTATAATTTTGGTGGTATGCATCACATACGTTTAATTTTCAACCTTCATTATATCAGTTTATATATGTATCAGTTTAATCATTACACTGATTTACATTCTGTCGATTAAATACACTAAATACACACATTAAATACACACAAATAATAATAATAAAAATAACTTTATTTGGAACAAGTGCAATATACATAAAATTATGAATCGTTAAATCTGCTTTAGTTTTACAAAAACTGTGTTGCAGAATAACGCCCATTCCCGTATAATTTGTAACAGTGTTCCTATCAATGTATAAAATTAAAACAAACTGTATTATTACTAGAGAGGAAAATTAAAATGAGAAAAAAATATCTACAATTTACAATCCACGAAGGTAATTTCAAAACAAAATGTATTTCCGAGTCCATTTTTATCAATATCATGACAAACCAATACTAAATTTTACCAAAAATTGAAAATAAGGACTAAAATATAACATTTGAATTTTTATGCTCACATTAGAAGGTCGGTAAACACAGATAATACAAATCTATTAAAAAATTCAATATTAAACCTACCTGGACACTACAAACCAATAAATCATGATATAGAATAATTAATTTCAATATAAGACACAATTTCGCACACATCATGCCAACATCACTGCAAGAAAGTTAATTTAAAGCATACGAACGTCATTATTTTGTTTATTAAATAGTGGAAACGTCCAGCAGTATATTACAATAATATATTGTAATATACAATAAAACGTCATTGCATTTGTACTATATTTTACAAATTTTATACGTAGGAATTTAATGTACACGAAAAAAACATCTTAAGTACGAGCCCTAGGAATAATATCACAGAATATCAGTAAAATACAATATACTCATCCAAAAAGTCTGAGCAACGTGTGCGGTTTTGAACTTTTCAATGATTATATTTATTTTTATGAAAACAAAACACAATCAAAAGTTTATTTTTGTGATGTTTCGACACCGGTCTCACTGTAGCCGTGCTAAATGTATGAAGCAGATAGTTCTCTGGTGCGTTGCAGCCGTGTCGCGGCACGGCGCGGCGGATGAGTGTATTTCTGCCATAGGTGTAGTGTGTTTTATTATAAATATTATCTTTATTATTTTATGGAACGAAATTTATTATTTAATGATTTTTTTTATTATTCTTTTATTTGTATTAATATTTAATAATCACTGCATTTTGTTTGTCGTTCAGACGTCATTGGGCTCTAGCTGAAAATCAGCGCTGCTGTGGTATTGCGAAAGTACTATCACAGTATCTTAGCCGAGACAGCGACCTGCACAGCAGCACCTTAAACCCCTCAGGTTCGAGTAGTCTGGAGGCTCCAGACGGAGAGATCCCCCGTGGGGATCCGCCATCCGCCTGGAATACCTCCAGAGGCACTCGCCAATTCTCGGCTGGAGGTCCCCTTAGGATCTCGCCGTCCCCAAACCCGGTGACGCTGTAAAGGTCATCTGTGACCAACAGCAAACACACTCAAAAAAAAAAACAAAAAAAAGCACCTTAAATTAGTTTTCTTGTTTTTATTTTTTCTCTTTGTCGCTATGTTTTTCTATTCTGTTTTGTTTTTAATATATGCTGTGTAACCAATAAAATGTTTTATCAGCCAATTACATTTCAGAGATTGTATACCAAAAGATTGTATACCAATCTACTTTGCTAAGTAAAAAAAAATATCAATTAATAAAACACAGTTTCTTGCGTGTTGCTTAGGCTATTTGGAGGCGTGTAGTTTTATACCTTTTGGCACCCTCATGAGGGGCATGACCCCCATGATTTGGAAGAGCACGAGAAGACTCTTGGTGGTGTAGTAGAAGCTGTCATGCTCGTCCAAAAGAGCGCCGTCTTTGTCCGTGATCTGCGGTCCATACAAATCGTCCGTTTCCAATCCTGAAAGTTTATAAAATAAAAAATGTTTAATTACAATAAAAGAAGAAAAAGAGAAGAAGAAGAAATCAGTAGCGCGTTTGGCTGCGATCGTTGAGTTAAGCAGCTTTCGCATTGGTCGGTCATTGGATGGGTGACCAAAAATTTACTATCTCGAGCTCCTCCATGTTCGGAATGCACGTTAAGCTGGCACCAATCCGCATTGAACCCGCGTAGTGACAGTTATATTGCAGTTATACTTATAAAAAAATATAAAAGTATCAAAACTCAACACATTTTGAACATTTCTGAATATCTACTTAAGATTATATAAAACGAAAAACGTTATGATTGGTTTTAAAAGGAGAAAAAGTTCTGGGAAATTGTAATCTCATCTTTTCATATCTATAGTATATCTTTACTGTAATTTACAAACCAAGAAAATTATATTATGCCAAAACATAAACCTTGCTTAGAAGATTGTTTTGAATGCAAATTTTAATTGGCAAAGCAGATAAGACTTTGTTTCGTTGTTCCAAACACAAGCGAAACACTCAGTTGTCATATACAAATACCAACACAATAAAGTTTGTTTCCACTTTTGTACGTTTATTTATCAAGATTGAACTTCGTATTTTATCTTGTAAACATTTTTTTCTGTTTCCGCTTCTCGGTAGAATTAAGTATTTGGGTGAACTACTTTTAAGCCGCACGATTTTTATAAAAACATATGCCTAACACTCAAACATAAGTCTACTAATAATTTAATAAAAAAAAGTGTGCCTAATTAGTTAAAAATGAAAAGGTGTTCATGATCTTTAAACGAGCTAAAACCATAGTCACAAAAGTGTGTAAACATCTATCTTAAAAAATCAAAAGTAAAATCAATTAAATAGGAAACAATAATAAAATGAATCTGCAAACACAATACAGATACAGTTAACCAGAACGTTCCATAATTAATGGACGCGTATACCTTTATTTAGCAGGTCATCTTTCTTTTCCCTGGCATTATTTTGATTGGAATCGTATACACGGAAAGGCTGCGGCTGGTTGTTCATTTCCTATGACTGTTTCAGATGCGAAGGTGTTCGGTCTCCGTCGGCGCAGAATGAGCTATGAAAGCTGAGTAACAAATACGGCATAATCAATCATAACCCACCCGTCTCAGCTTACTTGGTTATTCGCGTTGTCAATGGGATGCAGTGGAGTCGCTACTGTTAATAGTAACAACTGATTACAGCAGTAATTTGAACCCTAAATCTTTTGATGATAAAAAAATAATTATATTAAGATGTAAAGTGTAAAAAAAAGAAAGGGAATCGTTATTTTCATCAGAAAAATATTTTTAAAAAGGGATCGTAAAAGAAAATACTTAGTTGTTCTGTTTTCAATGTCACATAGAAATCATCTAAACGAAACACGCTTAAACGGGTTCAAAAAGCGTCTTATTACTTTTTTGACGTCTGGCATCCTTTTTCAGGCTGCGAAATGTTAACTTAAGAAACAAATAGAGATTATCTTTATAGAATTCTTATTCAATATAGGTAATATAAAGAGTAAATGATAAAAACATAACATAACTACGAATCACTGTTTTAATCGATTTATCAGCCTTTATAAAAAGGGAATCCCCATCTCTGTTAATGACAGCCCTCCGTGACTGATATCTTCCAACATGGCGGAATCTTTCATCTTTTCTGCTTTAGTGTCCAAATCATCCAAAAGGCTAATTTAAAATGTTGTCACCTTTTTAGCTAACAGACTTCATTTCCCACACGATTGTTCAGTAAATTCTATACCACATAAACTTCCAAGCTAACATTATTTGGAAATGGTTATAAGGGTCACATGGTCTCAAGGACTAATGATAATTATATTGTAATAGGAATCTCCACAGACGGCTATAACCATACACATCGAAGGCGCACCGATGACGCCGCTACGTCGCTCCACAGCCATTAATTCATATTTCACACTAATGGCGACTTTCGAAAACACTTTACCACCCTAAGTGAGATGTTACTACGACCTTGCAAACTAAGCGTTAAGTATTCATTACTAAGTTCCAGGATTAAACATACAGTCGTTAGGAGGTTTTAAGTGGCCTTTGTGGTGATGAGAATGAGGAGAAGTTTTTATTCAGCGGTTAGAATTTAAGGTTGATGCATTCATTTATTATTATGAAAGTAATGGATTTCCCTATAATGTTTTTTTAAAGTTAGATAGTGTTGATAGTTGCTAAATATGTTCAGTGATATAGAATATGGAGAGCACTCTTGATGGGATATACATATGGAGAATTACGAAATAATTTATCCATGTTATATTTTGCGGAAAATTTGCTGAAAATATTTTTCAATGTAAATAAGAAAAGGACTGTACATAAACGGCTTAATGAATTAATTTGATATGAAGTCAGAATTGAAATTTGAATTGAATTGCAAACAAGATATTTCAAATTAAATTATTATATGTTTATCTGTATTGACCTCCATTTAATAAATACGAATATTTGCTGTCATTAAAATAAATAAAAAAAAAAAAAAAAAAATCCAACACACACCAATTAGCCTAGCCCCAAAGTAAGCACTATAAGGCTTGTAATTATGGGATACTAGGGTAACGGATAGAATACATATACTTTACATATATAAGTATATTTATATAGAAATACATAGTAAACATCCATGACTGGAGTACAAATGCTCGTGTTCATCACACAAACATCTGGCCCCACCGGGGTTGGGACCTCTCGAGTCGGCGACGCCATGAAACCCGGCGTACAAACCACTCGGCCACGGAGGTCGTCAATCGTAAAATGGAGAAACATTAATACTTATTCAATGTTTAGTTAAATTTCCCATGAAAGAGTAAATATCGCTTGATTAATTCAGGCCTGATAAATTGAATCAACAGAAAGTCAGATTTTGTTGACGGACTCTGAACCGCAAACAGATAATCGGAGCTCATGTAAATTTAATTATAGCAATTAATTCCACGTACCTATGTTGTTGCTGAATTATACTTTATTTGTAAAGAAAAGAGTTCATATTAAATAAGTAATTTAAAAAGGGATTTCAAATTATTTACGTTGTTTACGTTTGTGTAACCTTTATGATTTTAATTATGTAACTTAATATGCGTATTAAAGTGAAAATGAGGAGCTCGACGGTGGTGGTTGGTTAGTGCGTTCGGCTGCGATCGTTGAAGCTAAGCAACTTTCGCAGTGGTCAGTCATTGGATGGGTAACTAAAACTCTTCTATCTCGCGTTCCTCTGTGGTACAGAAGACACATTAAGCTGTTAGCGCAGTCTTTAGCATCCGCCAATCCGCACTAGGCCCGCGTGGTGGGTCATGGCCCAATCTCCATATTCCATCCATAGGGAAGGCCTGTGCATGTGGGAAAGTGAATGCTGTCGTTATTTTCATAAATCTTGGATGAATTCGATAAAATCAACGTACACATCCAAACCATAACAAGGACAAAATGTACTCATTTTTTTAAGTTTTCTTTTTTATATATCTTTACTAGTGGCCCGCCCTCGCTTCGCTTCGGTGTAGAGCTGTAGTTTAGACTGTAGTTTTTGTCCTCAGGCTTGTATTATACACAATGAATTTCTTTAAATACATAATTACAATACCGCCCGAACCGGTATGTTCCTGCATTTTAAATCTGTAATATCTTCGAAAATATGCATTTTGATTACATGCTGTAAAGTGCCATAATATTGATCTATATTACATGCACAATGTATTTAAGGTACTTAATTGGATAAGTATTAATGCTGTATTGCTTAAAATTGCTTTTTCGTTAATAAGCCATTATTTTCTCGTAATAAGTAAAGGATAAAATATGGTTATTAATGGTTATCCCTAAGAGATAGACATATACCATCGCTGACTTTTTTGTAGACCTTTTCAAGGTTTACAATACTGTAGTACATTATTTTGATCTATCTCGTAGAGTTCAGCCAGCGTTTGCAATGTAAGTGCAAAGAAATGTGTTTATTTACGACCTTACATTAAAAACCTCTAAAATTATCAGTGTTTCTCTACTATTGCATGTATATGTTATACATATAAACCTTCCTCTCGAATCCCTCTATCTCTCGTATGTTCTCGTAATTGTGCATTATAGGTATAAATAATCAATAAATAAATAAATATTATAAACACTCACACTAATTAGCTAAGCTCCAAAGTGAGCACTGTAGGCTTGTGTTATGGGATGCTAAGGTAACGGGTACAATACTGTATAATTATACTGATACATATATAAGTATATTTATATAGAAATACATATTAAAAATCCATGACTACAGTCAAAATGCTCGTATTCATCACACATACATGTGCCCCCACCGGGATTCGATACCTTGAAACCCCGCGTATAAACCACACAGTGCCGGATGTCCTCAAAAAAAAATACAAGAGTAAACAACACACATTATGCAACGACAGTAACTTATTATTGTTCAACGCTATCTTGACCTTCCTGCACCATTACAGCGTATGAGATCTCATGAATATCTGCTACTATCATTTGAACTAAGAGCTTGCATCTATCCGAGTCAGACCCTCGCCATTCTGAACGTATCTTAGTTGTTAATCATATTTGCTTTCCACAAGTTGGGAATTATTTTCTGTATTTTATAGGCACTATCTGTATAATGCACAGCCGATGTATCGTCGTGCGTTTTTCAGATCCCTTAATTTTTGTAACACAAAAGTAATTTGTTGCAATTATTAAAACCAATACATAAAGTAACCTGCCGTTAATGAATAATAGCATTTTTATAAAAAAAAACACATTCTCAAGTCGGTTTATATCGTTATATCGAAAGGTAAACTTTAAATCTTTAGGCAAGCATAATTCGAATATGTTTCTGATTTATAAATTAATCATTTCTGTACACTTTTGTGAATACGCATATTTAAAAATGTACAGATATATAATAATTTACCCGTTACCTTTTCTACATATTCGTATTTATATACGAGGGGGGGAAATGTGGCGAACCGACCTCCTTATGTATATCTTTATACATATAATTCTTCTGTGAGTGTGTATGTCACTGAACTTCTCTTAAACGACTGGACCGATTTTGATGAAATTTTTTGTGTGTGTTCAAGGGGATCTGAGAATGGTTTAGATTCACAATTTTGTCCGCTGGACAACCCCTATTTTTTAGGGCGGTACGAAGTTCGCTGGGTCAGCTAGTGTATTATAAATACACACATCAAAAGTGTCTAGGGATCAACATATATTTTTGCAATAACTTTTCTCCTGATTGATATTAATTAAAATTTTCTTTAAGGATTCATCAAATAAAGTGTTTTCGTTTGTCACAGTAACGATAAACCAAGTCACCTTTGCATTAATAAAGAAATTTGCCATTTTCCTAATAAAGGGATTTTTGACATTTGAACCACTAACACAAAAGTTCGAAAAAAAGACTGAAATAACAGTTTTCTCTAAAATTTTATTGGGTAACTTAAACAATTAATAATCCGTATTTCTACCGCGAACACTAACAACACAAGAACATCGGTTTGGCATACTCAAAATGAGTTCATCCAAATCACGCTGTGGAATGGCCGCCCATGTTCGTTGCAACAACAAAAAAAGGTCTTCTTGCGACTGGATACCCTCCATATTCGGCAGAGCTCTTCTCTGTAGCATATCCCATGCATGCTCAATCGGGTTCAAGTCTGGCGACTGAGCAGGCCAGGGCAGGACATTGATGTTAGCTGCGGCGAGAGTCTGTCTTACAACTCTTGCGGTGTGCGGTCGTGCATTATCATGCATTAACTGAAATAAGGGACCGATTTGCACTTGTAGAAGAACGATGACGTCTGATACAATCGTCTCAGCATAAATTTGAGCGTTGAGGTTGCCTCTGATCCAAATCAACTCAGTTCTTCCGCCGATCCAAATACCCGCCCATACCATGATGATTCCACCACTATAAGGATGGACTTCCTGGCAGGATTTTAATCGCTGTTGGCGTCCAGGGGTTCTCCAGTGTCGTATACGTCTTGTATCCGGTCTCCTACC